TGGCACCCCAGAGGAATTGAGTCAGAGAACTGGATTCATTTCCACAACAACCTCATATACACTTAGGTCAAAGAGTTGAGTTGGCTATATCACCTTCTTTTGTCACATACCAGCTTCTGGGAAAATGAAATGATACAATGGACTGTTAAAGGGCACACTGAGAGCAAGGGACATTCAAACCTTGGGATACATGTTTAGCAAAAGTCATCTGATTAGTTAACAGTAGAGGATCTGCTAATTGGCCTGGCCCTGCCCAGTCAAAACTTTTGCATACTGTAGAAGGTGATAAAGTCCCTATGGTGCACATAGAAGAATGTGCTGGGGAAGGCAGTCTGGGTTATTCCTGCCTCGGGCAAAGACAAACCCATCTATGGGATTGCAGTTGCTCAAGGACCTTGGTATAATTGGTGGGTAATGCAGAAGGATTGGGAAGTCCTCAAGGGTATTTGATTTTGGGTGAGAGCAACCAGTGATTTGAATTGCATGATCTTAATTGCTGTATAATACTGTATTTCATCACTACTCTAGTTGCTGTATGCTGTATCAATGGTATTAGAGTGAAAATTGCCCAGAGTAATGAAGGATGAATTCTGATGAAACCAGAAAAGTGCAGTGATGGAACCAGAACTGGCTTCAGCAAGCAGCAGTCCGAACACCACACATCTTCTCTTTTGCCTTGAAGGACTGATATGACAGATAGACCCCAAAGTCATGGACTAAATTAACTCAGCGGATGTTTTAGAGGGATGGCCGCTAGAATAAGGGGATGATATGTCTGTGTCTGTATTAAAAGACAGGAAAGGTGATTGTGATTAATTGGGATGTACTGGAATGTGAGGGAACCTGGGCATGATGAGGATGGTATAGAATAAGGGATGGATATCCTCCTGGCTTTGTCTGGGTTAGAGTTAATTTTCTTCCTAGTAGCTGGCACAGTGCTGTGTTTTGGACTTAGGATAAGAATAATATTGATAACACACTGATGTTTTAGTTGTTGCTGAGCAGTGCTTGCACTAAGTCAAGGTCTTTTCAGCTTCTCACACTGCCCCACTGGCTGAGGGTGTGCAAGAAGCTGGAAGGGGACACAGCTGGCACTGCTGACCCCAACTGACCGAAGGGATATCCAATGCCATGTGGTGTCGTGTGGAACAATTAAACTGGAAGGCGTTGGCTGGAGGGTGATGGCCCATTGCTCGGATTCAGCTGGGCATCAGTTGGCAGATCCGTCACTTGTTTTGTATATTCTTTTATAATTGTTATTGTTTTCACTTTCCTTTCTGTCACATTAAGCTGTCTTTATCTCAGCCTCTGAGTTAAACTTTTTTTTTGCTGATTCTCTCCCCCATTCCACTTGTGGGGAGTGAGTGAGTGGCTGTGTGGTGCTTAGCTGCCTGCCAGATTAAACCACAGCACGTAGTTACGTGGTTATGCCGATCTTGGGTATGTGTGGTGAAATAGGAACAGAATTTAGTCTAAATAGGTAGGTTTGTGGCTTGGCTGGGATATTAATTGTTCTTTCACAGCCCACATACCCCTGTGAGTGCTGTTTCAGTTTTTTGTTGGTCCTGTGGTACTTCACAAAAGCACTGCCATGCAGCATCTTGTTAGTGCAGTGTTACCTAGCCGTGTTTTGTGGGGATATTGAGATGGTAGTGATCTGTCTGTGCTTTATTTGCAGTTTTTGAGGTGTGGGACCATATAGTTCCTTAGGCAGTGAATGCTGATTGGAACCACTTTTGAATGCAGCAAGAGCTGTGTATGATTGTGTTCGTAGCTCTGTGATGGTACACTGATCAGCTGTATAAATCCTTGGTGATGGTTTTTTACAAGGTTAGCTCTTTGGTAAACCAGCATTAAAAAATGAAAAGGTATTTTTGTCACGTGACAGAATTCTGTTAGTGATGACAAGAATGTTGTTAAAGCTTGTTGGGAAGATACATTTCTGGAGGGAAGTGGTGTGTGGTTTATAAAAAACCCCAGCTGTTTTATCATCTGCTGTAAACCGGTAGGAGTTTACAGTATGTTGGGTAGATTTTTCTTGTATCATGTTTATCTAATAAAGCCAACTGTATGTTCAGCTAAAGGGTGTAATAGTGAAGAATATGTACTACCATTAAGATTTTCTCTCATCAGTGTTTTCATGCATTTTATTTTCCTTCTGATCATCACGTGCAAATTTTGAAGAATTCAGTGAGTTTGCCAAATTTGTCTTAATTTGCGTTAGTTGTTTTAATACTCACAGGAGTATTGATTGAACAAAGTTGTGCATTGTCATTTTTGCTAATGGTGAATGCTTATTGTAATGTAATCACAGAGAATATTTGGTTAGGTAAAGTAAATACATTTTATTTTATTTTATTTAAAAAATGTTGTCAGTATTGCTATCGACACATGGGATGGGATACACAGGAGTAGGCCTGCAGTGTGAAAGCAGAGATAATTCTGACCTTTGCCAGAGCTGATTTTTACTTTTGCTTAGCTAGGAATATTTGGAACTTTGTTCTTGAGAGATGGGTATGCTTTCAGCTGTTGGAGGAAGTAACAGCTTTCTGTGAGTAGTACTAACTACAGTTAAATAGAATGCTAATCACTTGATGCTAATGGCTTATTAACATGTTCATACTAATGCACATTTAAATTTCATGACATCACAAAATGTCATGCCATTTGCTTAGCATTAAATTGCAAGATTAATGCTCACACTGATGGCTCTATACAACAGTGAGCAGATGTAATACTGAATTATGGGAGAAATTATTTTTCTCTAGGATGCATAATCACCTCATGAATGCTGATTTTGGTCAACATTTGAGGTACTTCTCTGTAGCTGTGCTTTGTTTTCCAGTTCTCTCAGAGAGGTGATACTGAATGATATATGGTGATGTATGTTCTATTTCTGCTTCACCCTTCCTGTAAAAAGGAACACAGATTAAAGAAAAAATCTGAGTAAGGCTGTGCAGTATAGAGGTTAGGGTACCCTCTGCTAGTCTAAACTGTTTTCAGAATCAGGGGAGTACTGAAAATTTTCAGGAGAGAAGTTACAGAATCACAGGACAGTGGAGGTGGGAAGGATTATCTGGAGATCACCTCCTCCAGTGTCCTGCTCACAGCAGGCTCAGACAGAGCAGTCTGCTCAGGGCCAGAGCCAGCTGCTCAGGGCTGTGTCTAGCTGGGTTCTGGGTATCCTAAAGGATGGAAACTCCATAACCTTCTGGAAAAACTGTGCCAATATTTGACTACATTCAGAGTTTTTTACAAAAAATGAGTTTTTTCTTATGTTTAAATAGACTTTTTGGGTTTGGTTTGTTTTGATTTGTGCCCCTTGCCTCTTGTTCTTTCACTGAATACCATTTAGAAGAATTTGGCTCAGTATTCTTAACACCATTATACTAGGTATTTGTACACATGGATAAGATTCCCCCATAGCCTTCGGTTCTCCAAGCAGAGCAGTCCTGGTGCTTTCAGCCTCTTGTATAACAGGTGCTCCAGTCCCTTCATTGTCTTAATCATTATGGAGGTCAGTGTGAGGGACAGCCTGAAGAGTGGTTCAGGATCTCTGGTCAGGGAGAGTAAGTTTCTATTTGGCAAGAGGTAAGAGAGAGCAAAATGAGTTAGAGCCAAAACTGTATTAACACATTTGAGTGGTAAGTATGATAGCAGAATTTTAAAGGGAAATTGAGAAGAAAGCATGGAATTCAGTGAATGACTTGATGTGATTAGAAGATTCTGTAAAGAAGAGATTGGATAACCAAGTGGAAGCCAATGTACCATGAGGTTTTGGAAATGCTGTCATCAGCTGACAAGTGAAGTGGTGGATTAGATGGGATCTTTACAGAGAGAATAAGGGAGGATAAAGTGCTCCTGAGAGTTTCTGACAAGGGCAAGGAAGAGGGTGCAGTCTCAGATGATATGCTGAGAGTTATGGTGAACAGGAGAGCTAGGATATGCAAACAGAAGCTTTGAAGGAACAGTGGTCAGAGTAAAGAGGAATGTATTTAAGTGCTCCTGAGAGTTTCTGACAAGGGCAAGGAAGAGGGTGCAGTCTCAGATGATATGCTGAGAGTTATGGTGAACAGGAGAGCTAGGATATGCAAACAGAAGCTTTGAAGGAACAGTGGTCAGAGTAAAGAGTGATGTAAAGAGTATTTGGTACAAGCAGCACCTGACAGAGTGGGCAGTGCATAAGAGAGTTGGTGGTTATGATACTGTGAGGCTGAAAGTTTTCTGCACCCAGTGAATGGATACTTGCCTTCAGGTTGGCTAGTGCAAATGAATTCCCTCCCCATGCGTTGTTTAAAGTACTGTCAGAAATCTGTGCTGTTAATGAGAAGTTCATTTCAGTGCACTTCTGAATATTGCTGAGAAGAAACTGGAAGTGGCTACATTGTCCCTTAGCTATTGCTAAGAAAGGTCTGTTAGAAAATAGTGTTCTTTTTAATGCTTTTTCATATCTTGGCTATAGTTTTGGTTCTAGACTCTAGCAGCACACTCATGATACTGACCTAAATTTGTTTACCTTTCCAGCTCTTCAGTATGTAGGCACTACTTTGTAACAGCCTTTGTAGGTTCTGTCGTGTTTGGTTATTCCCTCACTGGGATTAGCTTGGAATAAATTCCTAATGAAGCATTTTAATTGGAGTCATAGATTGCATTCAATGTTGATATTTTTGCTACTTTAAGTCATAGAAGTTCTGTTTAGTCAGTTTGGTTATTCGATTGTCTTTGTCTGATTTAAAATTCTAATAAAATTCCCCATAAATGGTCAAACATTGGATGGGATTCTGTATATCTTTGCATGTGTCTGAATTTGATTTTGGGGTAAATCAGCAGATGTCTTTAGAAGGTGCAGATTTATTTAAGAACTTTGCCAGTAGTAGACAACTGTCAGCTTTATAAATTGTTTAATAAAAAGTACTGAGATATTCTAAATTGGTTTTGTTGTTGAAAGCAAACTTTTGTGTGATACATATCAAATATCCATCCTTTCCCTCTTTGTTTCAGTTGTCATGGATGATGACGATGATGAATCCTGTCTCCTTGATCTTATTGGGTAAGTTTTCCATAAGCAATTATTGCATAAAGGTTGGGAGTAATAATTCTGCAAAATCATCATCTGGGAGGTGATTCTGTCTCAGTATTGTCTAAAGATGAGGTGACTTGCAAATGTAATAGGCAGACATGCTTCCCTTCCTCCACGTGGAGGTGTACAGATCACAGAGCCTTCAGTCCTGGTGTGCACTAGCTGACAGTCCACTTGCTGATATTCTTCTCAGGAGAGACTAAGGAATGAGTGTGCATGGAGGTTGGATACTCTTCTCAGCTAGTGGAATCCCAGATCAGTGTTGAAGCACATTACTAGGGATGTTGTTACCATTGCAAAGAACTATTTTTTTGATTATAAACTAAAGATCTCTTTTTTTTTTTTGAGGAGTGAAGCTTGATACATTATTAATACTATGCCTGTATTTTAAAGGGAAAAGTGAAATTATTTTTTCTAAATTACAATACTGAAATACTTAATTTCTACTAGTGATGTATATTTGCATCAAGATTTTAGAAAAAAGGAATTGCTCTCTGTACTGTTAAGTATTCACAACAAACAATTTATCAGCATTTTGCTCAAGAAACTTGTTTTTAATAAAATTGGGGATTTTAAATGCACCTGTGGGTTGGTGTGTTTTTGGGTTTGTTTTTTTTTGTGTTCCCCTCCCCCTCCCAATTCATTCCAAAACAGATTTATTTGGAGTTTTATAATTCTCTATGGGAGTCTCAAAATTAATTAGGATTACTGAAGCATGAGCAAGTTTTTTGTGGGTTGTATAAGTGACAAGTTACCTTCCTTTGGCTGCCATTTAAGAATGGATAATATAATGCATATAAAACAGAAGAAGAGAATTGAGCTTCTCATACACAAAACTTTGTTCAAACTCTGACAGAAGTTGGTCTGACATCAGTCTTGTGGTACTTGCTAAAAGATGTTTTCCAGGTCACACACGTTTTTCTTTAAGTGTAGTAAATAAATAGCCTTTTTAGGTTTCTCACGCCCTCAAATATTGTAGCAAAACCAGTGAGAGCTTTAACTTCAGAGAAACCAAAGTGCTCCCGCAGTGGCTGCTGTAGTTTGAGGGTTACTGTGTGAATACTGTAGCAAAAGCACAGTCAGTCATGGCTCACAGTTCCATTCTGTGAAGTACAGGCTACAAAGTTACTGATTGTGGCCAAGTGAAAACACTTCCTGCTTGGATCATCAAGATAATCATTGACTCCGTGGGACAATTACCTGCTCTGTCATGAGCATGAATCATGTGGATTCTGGTACAAGATCACAGGTGGTCCAGAAAATGCAGTGCTGTCTATACAGATGAGTGCTTTTGTGAAAAATTACAGTGTTCTTCCTGCTGCTGGCAGCATTATTGTCTTATCATCTAGAAGAATGGAAATCAGTTTTTTTATTCATCTGATCTTTGATTTTGGTAAGTGCCTTCTAAAATTCCTTCCTTACTAAAGACAGTATTTACGGTGATGAAGTGTTCTTAATTTTTAATTACATTTTTCACGATTCAAAGACAGTGAGTGTAATTAGTATTAAACAGCCTGGTTATTTTACTGATAAAACTCGTAAGCATGATAGAGCCCCATGGGAGATCTTAAGTTCTGTGCTCCTTAATTCTTGGAATTTAGTGTAATTTACTATAAAAATGACATTTTCTTTTTAAAATATATGTAATGCCTTCAATGTTGTAAGCATAATAATACCATAAAGTCCCTGCCAAATAGTAACACAATTTTTTGTAAACATATGAATCCAGTTTGTTATTTGAAACAAAGAGTAGAGGTGTGTTTGTGCCTTTGCAAGAGTAGTTGTAAACCTAAAAGATCTTTAACTTGTTCCTTCTTTATTTTCTAGGATGATGAAGAGAGAAGGAGACATGTTTTCAATTACTTTTTTTTACATGAGAATCTCCTGCTTCTAAAAAATGTTTCATTATTACTTGTTAATCAATAAATATGTCTTAATAAAAAAATCCACATCAGTTGATTCTCTTTGCTAGTGGACATGTTGGGAAATGGTGTTTAATTATTGCATTAAAATAATCCCATGTAACACAGCCTGTTACTGTTTTTGCTTGGTCAATATGTGCAGTTACATTACTGTATTTTTATTTATTTGAATTTCCAACACTCATTCTGTCAGGCCACATTTTTGATCTGAGTTTTATTCAGTGACAGTGCTAAATTAATGAAATATGGTGAAATTAATGATATTTAGTCAGTTATTTCTATGGTTGATTTCACTTGGAAAAGGTGCCACTGTGTGAGAGGACTGTGGCAAGCATAAGTTTTTATTAACTTATGTTAAGGGTGACAGAAAACATGTCAAAGATTGAGGTTTGTAGATACCCTATTGACTTAGACACTAGCTAAACAGCAGTTATGGTTTAGCTGTAAAGAGGTAGTACCTGCTTTGGCTCTCATGTTACTTGGTTGTAACCTTTTCTTTAGGTTTTGTACTGTGTGCTATCATAAACTACTATTTGTTTTAAGAGAGTAACATCCTCATAAAGGGAGGTAAAGTAGAATGCAACTAAAATTTTGTGGTCACCAGAGTTTGTTGCTTGAAATGCCTTGGTAAAATGGCAGAAATACTGTCAACATCTGAAAATTATGCTGATACAGAAATACAGATCCTCAGATGGTATAAACTTTCAACTTTGCATTGGATTCAGTGAAAGAAATGTTCATACTATAAACACAATTTATGTGAATACAGTGTATGGCTTAGCTAAACTAGCCTCATTAGTAGAAAGAACTTCTGAAGAGTGTTAACTTCTTTTTTTTTTTTTTTTTTTTTTCCCTGAAGAGACCCACAGGCGCTGAATTATTTTCTACATGGACCTAGTAGTAAATCTGTAAGTAGCATTGCTGTGTATTAGACATAGTTAAACTTCACTAAGTATATTATTTCTAAACATGATTTTTGTCTTTTATCAGAGCAATGAAGACTTGACTAACGCAGAATATTCTGTAGCCAACTCGAATTCAATTTTCGCCAACTCCAATGTAAGTGCTCAGGGCATAAGTTATATTTGTGTTGAGATTTCATGCTTCTGTATGGCTTTACTTGGCTTTTATAAAACTTGGTCAAGTAGATGTGGGTTTTGACCTTTTTCAGATGAAAGTTCTGAATGCTGCCATAGAACCACCTTGTGCTGTTAGTATTTTAAGTATTTTAGTGGGGAATTAGTTGAAAAATACTGCACTGTTGGGATGTGTTTTGCAAATATATAAACCAGCTTGCTGGGCAGTGAAAATGCTCTCCAGTGTAACTCTCTCCAGTAAACTGGACTTGCAACTTCAGTGATTGTATATGTAGTAGTGCTCAAATGTAGATCTTAAAAGACAGTAATTTGTACGTTTCCTGTGTTTGTTAGGGTGGCTTTTTGTTTCTTGTTTCAAGTAGAATCTGAGCTGGCAATTTTTTTGAATTAATGAATTTCTTTATTTTTTATGTAATTTTTTCCCTTTATCTGGAATAACTGGCTTGGGATGTTTCCTTCCTGTAGCTTCAGTGTTATGGAAGTCACTTTAAATTCATTAGGTGTTGCAATGAGTCTTCAGTGTTCTTTCTTGCCAGGAGTGTATTACAGCTCTGGTCCAAGTGCCACAGTGAGGTTGTGGAATCCCAATCCTTGGTGATAAAGTTAAGGCTGATCTGTTCTAGTGTTGGTGGTAGTCCTGCTTTGAGTAGAAGGTTGGACTGGATGACGGAGATCCCTTCTGACTTGTGTTTCTTTGATTTCATTGGTGTATTTAAAAAAAACCAACCCTGAATTCTTAATCCCACAATCAAGTTATTTGAATACATAGAGTAGGATTTTCTTAGTGATTCCTCTTTCTATTGTACTGTTATCTCAATTCTTGCCTGTTTGTCCTGTGTTTCTAACAGATACATGGATATACTTGTAGGTATTCAGGGGCCTTAAATAAGTGGTGAAAATAAGATCTAAAAACTGTTTATCTCTGTGTGGAGAACTAGTGACTTCCCTCTAGGCACATTAATGTGAAGTGTGTCCTTCCCCTTTCAAGAACATTATTAGGCATTGTAGAAGAAGCATACATTGAGTGACAGCTCTTTCTCCAGAGAAGCTGGTTGAGGTAATGCTGGGGGAGTGGGGTACCACCAGTAATAGGATGTGCCCAGTTTTCAGCCGATTGGAAGTGGTGGTTTCACCTTGGTACCATGTTAGCCATTAGCACACAGCATCTTCCTGTACCCAACATTGGCAGAGGTACGTTTGAGGACTCAGCATGTGAAAACTGAGGTTTGGGTAAGAAAAGTGACTTAGGACATGCATTTGTCATAGCCTAGACTTCTTAGTTGTTCTTTGTAGACATTCTTCTGATAAGAAGAGTAGGTTGACAGGAGTTTGGTGTTTCTGGTGTATTTTCAGAAAGTGAGTGTTTGAGAGGGAGTGGAAGATTCTGGACAAGGTGGGTTTGTTGCAAAGGGAGTAGCAGTTGGAAGAAACAAAAATACTTGGTGAAAGCCAAGAGCTTTCTGGTATGTGAGATTGGAGGGGTAGGTAATCTTGAAGGCAGATGGTCAGAGAAGAGAGCATTTCTAATGTAGATTCCTAGGATGAAGTACTGCATTTTCATTCTCAGCACTTGTTCCTCTTGTGCTCTGTCTTCATAATGAATACTAATGCCATCTTCTCTTCCCTCCCTCCTGTGAGAGGCCTGTGCTGACCTATGTGAAGAACAACTTGATTACATGTTCTTATAGTGCATTGTGAAGGAACAAGTGTTATTTAAAATATAAATGTAAACAGATGGTTTCACAGTCCCTGCTTATGAGATACCTGAAAAATTAAAGGCTTCTGAGTTTTTTGTCATTAAAGTTTTTGCAGATACTGAAAGTTGTCTTTGTATGTATTCAGAATTGGTACCATGTAGTAGGATTGACTGTCTTGATGCCTGTCTCATGCCTTTCAGTGGCAGAGTTTACAAATTCACTGTCAAGGGTTCAGTACCTCAGTGGGTAAGTGTGCTCAGCCAACACCTAACACAAGCAAGATTAAGTTCCTGCTGGAACAAGAAAGCACTGTCTACTCTTTCTACTCCCTTACACTACCCCTACTCCCAGCCCCCTAACCTCCTCCCCTGCCAAGCTGAATGATTACATACCACCTCTGCTGAGTCCAGACTGGTTTCCTGTGGCAGTTGTCAGTTGTCAGTCTCTGTCACAACCGTCATGAGAGCCATTGCCCTGTTACCTGAGTTGTACTGGGTAACTGATTTCAGTGTCCTATTACACTATAGTAGGACAGCATAAGAGAACAGGATATTCATGGAGCCAGTGAGAATAAGACTCTTGTGGGTAGAGCAGATTCATGAAGTTGCAGAGTTGTTAGTTTCTTGTTGAAATTAGTATGGTGTTCTGCATGGCTATTTTGAATTTGGGCACCAGTGGTTCAGATTCTAACTTGTAAGGTCCCTCATTCCAGTTTATGCACATAAAGTTGTTTTTGGATGTTAAACAGTCCTGAGAGCAGATAATGAAACTTGAGATTCTTTATTCCAGTGGAAGAGTTTCAAGCTGTTAATCTTGATTGCATGTAATACTATTTTTGTTGGTAGCAGTAATAGTTACTACTGACTGGAATAGAATTAACTGCATTGAAGTTAGACAGTCGTAAAAGATTTCAGGTTGGTCATTGTCCTTGGAGACAAGTTACAGATGGAATGGGGAATTCTCCTCAAGAACCTGGTGGTTATACCTCCTAATAATGCCCTACTTAGTGATTCCTTTTTGCTCTGCCCAATGCTAGGTAGCTGGGTACAGCTGAGAACCTGATTTGTAGCTTTAGGTGTTCCTGTGGTACAGACATTGAGACATTTAAGCACTAGTTTAATTGTTTAAGTCCTCTGTTAACGTAAATGTAAAAAAGCTTATTGTGGTTTTATCATTGTATTTTGAAAATATTTTGATTAATTTTAAGAACAAGCTCTTAATATCGTAAAACATGGCCAGAGTTTCATGAGATACACAGGCTGTCTCAGATACAGACTGGGGTAAAATTCTGAGTTCTTGGGGAACTGAAGTTAGGGTGGGGACATTATTGCATGTGATAATTATGGCTTGCAGCATCTTCACGCTGTTTGCATGAGATGAAAACAAGTGTCTGTGACCTGCAAGGAATGAAGACGTAGTATATGAATGTGACTGATAATTGCACACCCACAGTTTGCATTTATCCTGACCTGAAATGAAACTGGATGATGTTTTTGAATAGCTGAGATATGATTATGCAATTTATAAAGTGTACTCTGTCTAAATTAGAACTACTGCAAGTATCATTATGCATATAAATTTGTCATTCCACCTGCAGAAACCTGATACTTGTGTCATCCAGAGTTTCTGGGCAAAATTTTGTTTTAGGAAAATCTTTTTGACAGCAGGCCAGAGGAAACAGGTTCTGATTTTCCATATCGCAGTATTTATGGATGTAGATGTGGAGGGTTTTTTCATTAAAGGTGCCACTTAATATTTTCAGGATTTTCAGTGTTCTCAGTAATTTTTTTTTTAGCATAAACCACAAAGTCTGTAGCATTTCTTTTCTTACTGCTTTTAAACAAAGAGCTAGCATAATTCCTTTACACTGGGTGATTGTAGAATGCTCGTAGGATTTTGGAGATGGATCTCATTTGATAGAAGTCGGTGAAAGAGCAGCTTTTTCCTGCCCTTTCCCTGCTACTACAGTTGCTACTGAAGCCCTTCCCCAAACTGAATTACAGTGGAGGTGTTTTCACTCCTCCTTTCTTTTATCCTTTTGTCTGCACAGTGCTCAGCTTGAGTAAGGGAAAATGGTACTTAAAGAGCCATTCACATCCTCTGGAAACAGTGCAGCTGCAGAGCTAAGTGCTGAGGAATTGGGAGGTTTGAGAAGGGAAAGGAGAATAGTGTCTCCAGCAGTCTGAGGGCAGGAGTGGGATGTCAGTGACATACATGTTTGTGCTGGCCCAGTGTATGGGATGAATGTTGCCTTATACATGCTGTAGGAAGAGTATAATTTTGTGTGAAGAGTTTGCTTGCATGAAAAAAAAGCTTCATGAGGAAACAAGGTGAATATTGGAACTTCTGAAAATGGTTTGTTTCTTGTTTTGCTTTTCAGAACACTGATCCCAAGTCATCTGTAAAAGGTGTAAGCAGTCAGCTTGGAGAGGGGCCTAGTGATGGACTGCAGCTGTCCAGTAGCCTTCAGTTTCTTGAAGATGAACTTGTGTCTTCTCCTTTACCTGATCTTACTGAGGATCAGCCTTTTGATATTCTTCAGAAGTCCTTGCAGGAGGCCAATATTACTGAACAGACTTTGGCAGAAGAGGCATATTTGGATGCCAGTGTAGGTTCTAGCCAACAGTTTGCACAAGCTCAGCTTCATCCTTCTTCATCAGCATCCTTTACTCAGGCTTCTAATGTTTCTAATTACTCAGGTCAGACGTTGCAACCTATAGGAGTTACTCAAGTGGTACAGCAACCTGTTGGAGCATCTTTTGCAAGCAATACAGTTGGTGTGCAACATGGCTTTATGCAACATGTCGGAATTAGTGTTCCCAGCCAGCATTTGCCTAATAGCAGCCAGATTAGTGGTTCTGGGCAGATACAGCTAATTGGTTCATTTAGTAATCAACCTTCCATGATGACCATTAATAACCTTGATGGATCTCAGATCATACTGAAAGGCAATGGTCAGCAAACACCTGCAAACATGAGTAGTGGCCTCTTGGTTCATAGACAGACTCCAAATGGTAACTCGCTATTTAGTAACTCAAATTCCAGTCCAGTAGCACAACCTGTAACTGTTCCATTTAACAGCACAAATTTTCAGACTTCGTTGCCTGTCCATAATATCATCATTCAAAGGGGTTTGGCACCAAACTCTAACAAAGTTCCTATTAATATCCAACCAAAGCCTATCCAGATGGGTCAGCAGACTGCTTACAATGTGAATAACTTGGGAATACAGCAACATCATGTACAGCAAGGGATTCCGTTTGCTTCTGCAAACTCACCTCAAAGTTCAGTAGTTGGTCCTCATATGTCTGTTAATATTGTTAATCAACAAAATACAAGAAAATCAGTTACACCTCAGACAGTTAGCAATGCTGGAGGTAGTATTGTTATCCATTCTCCTATGGGACAGACTCATGCACCTCAAAACCAATTTCTCATACCTACAAGTTTGTCTGTTAATTCTAATTCAGTTCATCATGTCCAGGCCATAAATGGACAACTTCTTCAAACTCAGCCTTCCCAGCTGGTTCCTGGCCAAGTGTCTGCTGAGCATGTAATGCTCAACAGGAACTCTACAAACATGCTAAGAGCCAACCAGTCGTATTCAGGACAGATGCTGAATAATCAGAACACAGCTGTTCAGCTTGTTTCCGGCCAGACATTCACAGCTCCTGGAAACCAAGTTATAGTAAATCATGGAACTTCACAGATTGTTGGTGGACAGGTGCCACTGCAGCAGGCGTCACCAACAGTGTTGCATTTGTCACCCAGTCAAGCTAATGTTTCTCAAGGTAGATCGAGTTTTACTACGATGTCGCCTGGGCAGTCTACAGTCTCAAACATGTCAGCTTCTAATCGATTTGCTGTTGCAAGTTCTTCTGGTTCAGTACATCCTAGCTTGGGACCATCAGTTCAGTCTGTTGCACCAGGAGGAAACTTTACAGGAGATCAGCTCATACAGAACAGAACTCAAGTTCCTGTCAGTGCATCACATCGTCTTCCAGCATCCTCTTCCAAATCTGTCAGCACCTTCAGTCACACGTCAGTCGGAGTAACGCAACAACAGTTTGCCTTCAGTCAGGTAGGAAAGCTGCTTGAGAATGTAGTCAAAGAAATGCTCCTAAGCTGGGCTAAAATTGGGTTAGCAAAGTTTAAAGTTACTATTAATACAGAGAATCTTATTTTGCTGGTTTGTATTGTTAACAAATACTGTGGGACTGCTGAAAATTACTGTCACCCAGAGACATAATTCCACTCGATGCTTCCTGAATCTGTCACCAAGTGAGTGACTGTCACTTTCATTAATTCAAATTATTTTGTTGGTGATTTATAGTAATATTTTCAGAACCACTTAGCACTGATCTATTTCTGCTCCTGTTTAAAGGAATAGACATTGTAAGGTTATACCGTATGTGCAGTATGTTCAACTCAAATTTGTCTGTTTTCATGAGTAAACTTTAAAACTGTCAGAAGTTAAAAAAAAAGTTCCAAAGTGAACTGCCAATATTTAACTCAGTGACTTCTCACACAATGAGCAACAAACTATTCCACTTCTGTGCTTTCTTTTTTTTTCCCTTTTGTTTTTTTTCCCTTGGTCGTTTAAAAACACTGGTGACTGTCTAAGAATTCATTTGCACTAATTATCTTAGATCTTTTCTCTTTTTTTCCTAAAGTCTAAGGGAATTTTTTTTAACCAAGACCAAAATTTGCAATGAAATAATATCTTGGAAAATAATCTGTATTTAGAAGATAAGGATGAACATGTTGTAGAGCCACATTTGTAGTCTTTGCCAAAACTGCTAGTGCAGGTTGTAACATTTGTTTGCAGATGAGTAGTTTGAGGCTTGTCTGACTTTCTCTTCGTGTGTCTGCATCTCCCTGTTTGTAGGATATGTGCTGGGTCAGTGAGTTTCAGCAGTTATAAAAGCATAATATTACTCTAGAAGATAATTTTGTTGACATTTCAGAGCTGAAAATGAGAACTACAGAGAACAAATGCCACTGTTTGCCAGAATCTTTTTAGTTTGTTTGTACTTGCTTTGTAAACATTGTACTGTTATGGTAAACCATGTATCATTTAGCTGCTGATCAGTGCACAGTGTGTTCACTCTGTGGTTTTTTTGTTGTGAAAGCAACTTAAGTCATCTTGCAGTTTTGGGACTCTCTAAAGCTGAGCTTTCTGAGCTCTCTCTGATTTACTTTTTAAAGTTCTTGAACTCAGAGGAATTCAGATCTCTGAAATTTCAGCACTGATGAGTTTGAGCTTAAATAAGAATACGTAGAGCTGAATTTTAGATTCTTTCCCCCTCTGTTTCTGAAAGATTTCAGTTAATATTCCACTGGGAGTTACTAATTAATTAATGTATTTATTTATTTAATGTATGTGGCACAGAAGAAGCCTGTGAACCAGACATCACCAGTTTCTGCATTGAAGACCCAGGATAATTTGAGACAGCCTCAGCTAACAAATCTTCTGAGCAACACGCTATCAGGTCAACTAAGGTCTTTTTAACATAATTTTCTTAATTTTCTCCAGCAACAGAAATTGATGGTTCTTCAGTTTCTCAGACTTATATTGATGGCTCATGCTGACAGGGTCCTAAAGGTTGTTTCAATTTTATTTTTAGAAGAATGCAAACTATTTTTTTCAGTATTGAATATGTGCTTTGATTTTTCCCAGTAATGGCGCTTCATTTTCTAGAGTGAAAAGTTTAATCTCCACAATAAGAAATTATTTCCCCCTTCTATAAAATTCCAAATGTCTATAAAATCCAAATCCTCTTTCATTTTTCTTCTTTTTTTTTTTTTCAGCTTAGGAGAATAAAAATAAGTAATTTTAAAAACACAGATATCTGCTAAAATTCTATAAAATTTTTAATTCTCTGTTGTGATGTCTAGTTCAGATACAGAGGGAAGAAAAATATTGATTACAAGGTTGTGTGCAGGCTGACATTGCTCACTTTGTTTTTGAATGTGTCACTTTCAGTTAGAATAGTAAATGCATTGTTCATGGCAAGCCCAAATACTGGGCTTTTCAAGCAGCTCCATGCTACTTAAAGAACAAAACCAATATTCAAAGCAAACAGAAAAATGCAGTAACCTTCCTGCTCTCTTTGTACATAAGTAACCCTTTTGACTAAGGTACTATAGTCTACCTGCCTTTTTTTCCCTCTTGTGTACTGTTTTATGTGCAGGCTGTAGAGGCAATTTTTTACAATCAGCACATTAAAAAAAAAACCCCAAATAAATTCTTGTTTGTGTTTGTTGTAACTTAGCATGACTGATAACAAGCTGTTTGGATTATGGAGCAAGGCAATTAGAGAAAGTCTGCCTGTTTAGAAAATCTAGGGGGAAAAAGATTACGCTTTGTAAATGCTTTCAGGAGCTCTAGAAAACTTGGGTTTATATGCTAGAGGGAGGGTTAGTATTGAAAAACTCAAGAAAATGGTACCATATGAATTTCAGTAAATTGTTTGGACACTAAAGGTATTTGAATTTCTTCTTACATTGCAGTGCTCTGGTAGGAGGTGATTTATATCAGAAGAGTTTTGTAGGTTGCAGCACAAAAGTCCTGTTTCATTTTTATGAGCTGGTTTCTTCACAGGATAGTTGTACAAATGCTTTCAAGCATGTAAGACCTATTTTTGCTAAAAGCTCAAGTAAAATGATCAGGGTAGGTATGTGAAATTATTCTCTTCTTGCTTAGGATGACAGAGTCTTTTTAACTTTTTTTATAGGACAGGACTCTGGAGGAAAAATACAGCAATCTCTAGGAACAGCACAGCCTCAAGATAAAGTCATAGGATCATCATCAGTTCAACAGAGTGTACAGGTAGAGAATATTTTTGTTTGTATGTTTTCCTGTCTGTCCTGGGTTTGTCTGGGATAGATTTTATTTTGTTTTTAGTAGCTGGTACAGTGCTGTGTTTTGGATTCAGGATGAGAATGATGTTGATAACACACTGATGTTTTGGTTATTGCTGAGCACTGCTTACTCTGTGGGTCCAGGACTCTGCAGTGTCTCATACTGTGCCAGTGAGTAGGTGCACAAGAAGCTGGGAGGCAACAGAGCCAAGGCAGCTGATCCAAACTAGCTGAAGTGATATTCCATACTATAGAACATTACATTCAGTATATAAATGGGGGAATTGGCTGTGAGCTACCAATTGCTGCTTGGGAGTGGGGTGGGTGTTGGTGGGAGGGTGCTGAGCAATTGTAATGTGCATCACATGTTTCTCTTGGGTTTATTTCCCCTCTCTTTCTCTTTTTCATCGCAATTTTATAATTATTATTATTACTGTATTATTTTGTTTCCATTAGTAAACTGTTCTTCTCTCAACTCACAAGGTTTACTTTTTTTCCCAGTTCTCCTCCCCTCTGGGGTACAGAGCAAACAAGCTAGGAATCGTTGCAGGGGGTTTTATTTTGGGTTTTTGCAGTCACTCAAACTTGACAAATTCAACCTTGACGTAATTAATGTTGAGTATTTTGCAAATTGATATACTCAGTGCTTCTTTGAGATTTAATTCAGTAAGTGGAGTCTGACTGTACTGTTCCCTGAAGATAATTTTGTATGACCTAGCAGTTTCTCATTGTGTTGGCCTTACTCATCATTACTTCCTGTAAACTTATAATTATTTGTAAATTCTGCTATTCTCTAGCTGATTGGGAGAGAGTACTTTCTGGGAAGTAGCAGAAAAATTTCACCTGATCTTTGTCTGTTTTATTGTTTACTACATAGTTGCCTTTTTTTTTACCACCAAAAGTTTTCCTGTTTATGGCAACTACATACAAAAACACTATGGTCCAGGGTATGGGACTACAAGGGGAGGTGAACTTTATTGGGCAATTTTTGTTCCTTGCTGTAAACCAGAGACTCTGATCCAGAATAGCTTCTTTGGGAGAATATTTGCATTGCAGTAACAGCTCTCATACAGTAGGAAAATCAGTCTTTATCCACTCAGAGAGCCTCACATCTTAGAACAGTGTTCCTGTGAAAGGTCTTGGCTTCCTAAGTGCCAGAGGAAAGGAGAAAATGAGTTAGACCTCCACCTGATGGGTGTATCTGTAGTATTGACACTGAAACTGAATTCCTAGCTAGACTTTTGCTCCCAACCTAGCTACCATGGCTTTTGAGAATTTAAGTATGCAACCTTAGCCTGCTTTCCTCACAGATACTCTAATCCATCAATATTGGGCAAGATGACATCAGCTGAGAAATGCAAGGACAGTTCATGAGAGCAGATTTCTTTGGGAAGCTTCTAGTTGTACCTTTCCTTCTTTTCACCTGCTAAATTTGATAATCTCTTTCCTAGTGAAGCATGTGTATGCAATCCAGTGGAATTTGCCTACAAACAACATTTCAGACCTTTGGTTCATGTGTCTTCCCTGTTTCATTAATACGGTGACCTTCGAAAATAGGAGATAGTTGGAAGTATTTATACATATGTGGCGGTTACAGTTAGTGCTGGTGATGCCCTTAATTGGCAGCAATAAGTGCTGAAACTTAGGCTTTGCAAAGGAGGGGATATATTTTAATTTGTCTTTTATTTTGAAATTAGGTGGATGGTCATTTAGTTGGACAGAAAAGGCCTGCTGCTAAACAGTTAACTAAAGGAGCTTTGTAAGTCATTCTTCTTTTGTAATTTTTGCAGAAACCTTATTTTTTAGTCTTTGTCAATGTAAAAATTCCTGTTACAGTATGTGTTAATTATGTATCATTAATTTTCATTGTAGTATTCTACAACAATTGCAGAAGGATCAGGTACATGCTGTGACACCAGATAAAAGTCGGTTTAGATCATTAAATGATGCAGTTCAGAGACTCCTTTCATACCATGTGTGCCAGGGATCACTGCCAACAGCGGAAGACTTAAGAAAAGGTAAATTTCTTTTTAAAAACTGGCATTAAGTTTGTAATCAGTGTATGGAGAGAGTTTTTCATGTAAGTTAGAGCAGTAAGAAAAGGAACGTTTTGAAATTTGCGCAGATTACTGAAGAACAGTGTTTGAAAGTATACTGTTTGTCTTTCTAGTGGACAATGAATTTGAATCTGTAGCTACACAGCTTCTGAAGAGGACACAGGCTATGCTGAACAAATACAGATGTTTGCTTATAGAAGATGCAATGGTAAGTATAACCCAAGTACATTTTGTGTCTGTTGGATGTGATTTAGTTTGTTAAAAAAATGCACCACAGGAAGGTGAGAACTAGTATTACAATTCATTCTGTTAATACTATTTATCACCTTACAAAGGTGATAAATACATACATGAAGGTTTTAGAGATGTATGTATAGCCAATGTACTTACTAGTGCACCAGCAAGCTCTGTGGCTGACCTGCTTTTTGCAGTCTATGCACATCTTAAAGTCAGTGAATTGAGTTTGTATTTCACATACTGTCTAAGCAAGGCTGCTGGTAACTGATAAGTTCCATAGAGATCGAAGGCACATGAACTTCTGCTCTCTACTTCTCCATGGCTCTTGCAGTGAACAGGCTGCCATAGTCAGGAAGGTGGTTTCTATGTATTTCTGAGGCTGGTGGAGCCTGAAACAATGTTGAAAATGTCCATTCAGAGGCCTCTAGCCATGTTATAATTGGAGCCAAATCATACTGCGATTTAGGAAATCATTATCTATGGAACCTCATATTTTCATCAGAAATGCTTTTTATTTAAGTACTTTCACAATCCCAGGTATGGGATAAAATTAAACTGGCAAAGTTACTTCAAGAATATGTTTTACAAGGACCAGGAAATGTCATTGTGGCTTCAGACATGCTTGTTTTCAAGCCTGGAAAAGTTTTGAATTTGAGTGTAATAAACATTTACATCACTCTGCTTTAGAGACAGGAATAATCTAGGTGTGATATGGTTTTGAAATCTGGCAGTCACAAAAAAAAAAGATCCTAACCATCAAGTATTCGCAAGTAATTGCAGGTGCAGAGAGGGGAAGGAGATTGAAATTTGTTCTTTTAACATCTGGTATGTCGTGTGGCAAATTCCATTCAGTAATTTAGAAAGGGTTATTTCACACAGTGAGTGTTCAGGTTTGAAATGAGTTGCCTATGTTGTGACTTGGTGCAGTGAACTTACTTCCATGATGGATGGATCCAGCTGGCTTGAAGTTATTGTCAGCAAAATGCAACTCAGCACCAGCTAGTTACAGGGATGGGAGAGAAGTGCAGGGTGGTGTCATTGCAAGATCTTTGCTGGTTTTCTCTCTAAAAGAGAAAGATACTGTATGATGTAAAAAATTGTATACAGTAGTAAATGTACTCAGTTCTGAAAATGTACAGTTCTTAAAATTGGAATAGTAATTCCCTGTCTTAAAAACTTTACCAAACAAAATTTACCATAAAATGTGAGTAGTATTTTAAGGTAGAGTTTTAGTGGTGGTTGGATTAGAGTCTAGATTGTTAAATTGTGATCATTCCTCACAAATACCTAATGAAAGACTTTTCTTTTTCTCTTAAGAGTAACTAAGTTATAAAGGTTTTGATTTGGTACCAACATAGGAGTCACAACAGAGATTTATGTTGTTGGTTTTTTTCTGTCCTTTTCCTGCAGCGGATAAATCCCTCGGCAGAAATGGTCATGATTGATAGGATGTTTAACCAGGAAGAAAGGGCATCTTTGACCCGGGATAAGCGTCTTGCACTTGTGGATCCTGGTAAGTAATGCTTAACTTCTAAATTAAGTGTGGAGTGTTTAAAAATAGTTGTGACCACAGTGAGGCACTGATTGCTAGGGATTCCAGTAATCAAAATACTGATTAGGCAGTTAGAAACTAACATTTTATAACTCCAACATTCAACAATCTACAGAAACTGTAAGGTTGAAATAGTTATTTTGTGGAAAAAGTACATTTGGCCTTTTTGGCAGAGAGAAATTTCTGAGTTTCTTATGACAATAGTCATGACTTCTGCATGGCCTCAGTTCTAGCAGGAAAGAGTCTGTGAATTTGCTTGCCAGCCAGAAAGAACACCACTGCATGAATCATGAATACTCCTGTTCATCTTAATGAAGTGTTGCTTTTGGAGTGTCGTGGCCACTTAAATGAACACATTTTTAACCAGAATGTTGCTGAATGTAGCAACTAGAATGTTGCTGAATGTAGCAACTCTTACTGTGTAAGATAACAGCTACTATTTGTTTAAAGGTTCTGCGTATGTTAAAAGATATTCACAGTATGTATTGGCAGAAGTATCAGTCTTCCAGAGACCATGTCTGCATATTTGGAATGCTGGGCAGTGCCCTTAATCTGGTTTTACAGTGTACATATGTGGGTAGTGTGCTGATTAATTTAGTGATAATCTCCTGTACTGTATGCAGCAGAACACTTAAGCATATGAGCATCTCTTAAAGACACAAATCTGTAGGCTGTGGATGTTATTTTAGTACTCAGAAACTGTGTTGGAGTGTCAGTTATTTTGATCTGTAGGTAATTTAAGTAAAATGTTGCTCTTTAATTTTCAGATGGTTATCAGGCCGATTTTTGTTGTTCTGCCAAACAATTTGATAAAATAGCTGAAGAAGCACAGTCCAGCAAAAGTGACCATCAGTCTAGCAAAACATTACCTTCTCGAAGTCAGACTACCAAAACCCAAGCCAGAGACCGACCAAAATCCAGCTCAGCAGAGTCCACAGCTCACAGTAAACTTCCTCTAGTGCCTAACAACGTTCTGACACCGCAAGAAGGAATAGCTTCTACTAAAAAATCTGAGAGCCTCACTAAAGCTTTAAAGTTTGAAAAGGCTAATTGTTCTTCTGAGAACCAATACGTGGCCCTTTCTGAAGAAAGGATGACTGGGAAAGATCTTGCCAAGTCCACTGAGAATTCTTCGAGTTCTGAAGACTTGTCAAAAACTGTGTCAAGAAGCAGTCATGGGACACATAATAAAATAGCAAGAAACACTGTTCAGTCTTTCTCAAAGGTAACGTGTAATAATTCTCTTCAAGACAAAACTCTGAGGAGCTCTCCAAAGAATGAGGTTTTGCATCCTGATAACAGGAAAGGCTCTGGTGAACCCCAGCAAGACTTACTGCTCAGTAAGAGTTTAGAAACTACGTTTAAAAACATCTTGGAACTTAAGAAAGCTGGGAGACAGCCACAAAACGAGGCGGCAAGTAGCGGCTCGGTTGAATTAGAATTTCCTAGTTTTTCACCTATTGCTTCACAAGAAAACTGCCTGGAAAAATTTATTCCAGACCACAGTGAAAGTGTTGTAGAAACTGACTCTATTTTAGAAGCAGCTGTAAATAGTATCTTAGAGTGTTAATAGTTACAGTACCATGGACAAGTTATGTTTCTCTTAGCAGAAGCAAATGTGAATGACACCACAAGTACAGCCTGACATGCGTTTAAGGTTAACCTTTCTGAACTAGATTCTGTTCTGTGTTTGAGAGCAATACTCATTGTGGTTACAGTGAGATATCCAAGTAAAGTTAATCCTTGTTAGAATGCAGTCTGTTAGGGCCTTACTATTTCAAGTATTATTATGAAAGTGGTTTTGATAATTGAGCAGTACTGCAACATAACGAGGTTGCAGGTTGTTAGGCCCTATACAATATGGTAATATACTGACAATCACAGTCATTTGAAAGGATATATTTATTAAGAAAATGTTTTTAAAGAGTGATGGAAGCAACAATTCTCCCCTATCCTTCTCTTCCACAGCTCATCAAATTTTTAGTTTTTCTGGAAAACCTACTGTACCTCTATTCAGAAGTGATTATTTGCTTTGTTAATGAATCTGTATTCTAGGATTCTTAAGTTGGAAGGAAATCATCAGTGTGTTTACAAGGCTTCATAATTTAAACTTTTAAGTGCTTTTCTATTGCTTTCTGAGCAGAAACTAGTACTTGATGATATATTTGTAGTGGGTAACTTTAGTCTGTGGGATGATATTATATGATCTTAGTCACAGTGGCATGATATGAAGTAATAAATGCTTGACTAAGGAAGGTAGAATGGAAGCCAGTAAATGGCAAAGTGTACAGGATGAGGCCATGATAGAGCCATGAATTTATATATATAATACATATATATGTTAACTCTTGAGGAAAAGATTTTGCATTTTATAATTGGATGTAGTCAGCCTTGAGTCTTTCTGAAGTGATATAAATGTTTTTTTTATTTGTTGTTTGTTTTTTTTTAGACCAAGTGTCAAAAGCACTTTTATTTGAAAACTGTATTTGTAGCTTATATTTTAAGAGGACATTAGCCTTACTCTGATTAAATTTAAAGGCCAGTGTTTATTTTTGATTTTACTTTTTTTCTGTCAGAGAATGTTCAGTCATCCACCGTAGCAGTCATAATTATCAAGATATGTACAGACCAAAGTTGATCAGCAATCCCATTGTTTAAACATATCAAAAAGTGTGTAATTATTAATTCATCTTGTAGAGCCGAGTGAAACCATTGCATGGTTTGCATTTGGCTTGCTGTCATGTTGTTAAGATAGAATCTTATTATTTTATTTATTTATTTTAATCGGTGACTTTTTTTTTTGCCACCCATGCTGCTTTTTCCTCGTTTACTTTGGTCATGAGTGCTTTTATGCACCTGAGCGCACTGACCCTTGTCACGTGCGTGTAGTACATATGTCTGCTCAGGAGGATATAGCTTTTGTGGTTTCTAAGGTATGATCATGTTCTCCCCCAGAACTTCTCCACAATTTCTTAGAAAAAATTGTCAGCCATTTTCCTGACTAGCTGATTATGATTTTCATGATAGAGAGACTCGTTGTGACAAGCTGTGGTTGTCAGATTGCCAGGAAAGAAAACAAAAGGTTTTGCTGTTGTGTAATTCAGTCTGTCTGAAAGCACAGAAGAAAGCAGTATTAGATCCTTGTGACAATAGAAGGTTACAGTGTAGCTCAGTATTGAGCTGCAATCCACTGTCTGACCACTGAGGGAAACCAAATCTGGAAAGCAATGTGAGAAAGATGAACTTCCTTAAAATTCATTTCCCCTTCAACGTGAATGGAAATACTGGTTTTGTATGATAGGAATTGCCATTTAAAAAAATTGTGCCAATTTTAAAGTACATGTTTGTAAAACCCAACATTCCCAAGTGTTGTATAAAATATTTGAGATGATAATAAGTATTGCCAGTTTTAAATTTTTAGTTAGGTGTCCATAGAATAGACTCTCAGGCAGTTAGTTGTTTTCTTATTGGCAAAACTGACAATATAATCTTCACCTATTGCCTTTTTAGATTTAATGATATGCTCATGGCTGTGTATCCTGATGCATATTTTATTTTACCATTTTGGAAATTTAACCATTCTAAACTATCTAGGAAGGAAAGCAGTAAGTTATACAGCTGTATGCTAGCTAGTTAAATTTTTATTTTATAGGAAAAAAAAAAGAGAAGTTGCACATTCATTGATCCACTTGCTTTTTGTACCACCTCAAAATGGGTATGAGGTTTCCAGGCCTCTCTACAGCAAATACATAATTGAAGTGTCAGGTTATGTGTCTTCTATTGGATCTCATTTGGGGAGGGGGGACAGTGGCACAGGAAAAGTGACAAATTACAAAAAGTAGTCATGACTGATCTGGTCAGACACATTTCTCTGAACTGCTTAAGAGAGGAACCCATCGAACAATCCTAGTAAGATCGATCTTAGATTTTAAGTGTTCTGTTGTTCACTCCTTTGAATTCAATTCTAAAGGAATTCTGGTACGTGGTGAAGCAGTAAATGAAAGAATTGTATTTTTGTGGTGCTTAAAAAAAAAGTTTATTAATCATATGGGCTCAAGTCCAGCAAAGTATAGTGAATGTGCATGACTTTAAACATGTTTTCATTATTTTGCTGGATTAGCATTGTGATTTCAATGTTATTTAATACTGCCTAATATTAAAACAAATTTTAAACTGGCAATTAAGAAAACTATGTTCATTTTGAAGACTTTAGTATAATTTATCTGTTAGAGTAGGGAGGCCTTACAGACTGACTTCACTTAAAGAGGATGTGTCACTTATTGTCAGTGTGGTATGGACTTTATTTGCTTAAATACCTTCATTTGTAAAGTATGTCTCACTTGAAATTGCTTTGTATACATTTTGTAAAAATATTTATAAAATGTTTTGTAAAAAAAAAAGTATAACAAATTGCAGTTTATTTTGTTATGTTGGATAAATACTGTTAAAAGACACAAGTCAGTAAATATATTGTTAATCCATGGATAGGAAATGTTTAGTTGAAGATTACAAATTGAAACAACCATTGCAATACAGCCAAAGATTTGGGAAAAAAAGTCTATCTGTGATTGTCTTGATTTAACCAAGTTGAATATTTATGTTTCCAAAAGAGGGTTGTTCTCAGTTTTAAGTAATATGGTTGCAAATATTGTTACTCCTCTGCTTTTTGTGATGCAGCTCTGTTATAAAATATTTAACAGGCCAACTTTCCATACTCTTTACGCATCTTGCTGAACATACACTATTAGGATTTGGTTTGTGTGGCATTATAACTACATACAGTAATGTTAATCCCCGGATTATAAGACTACCAATGGTCCTACCTTGTTGTTATTAGAGATCTTGTCATGGTGGTGTTTTTGAGACATGCTCAGTGTGTTTTCTCAAGTTTGAGGCATCATCTTCCTGATACCTTGGGGACATAGAAGAAAAGACAAGGTTTTTGCTAGCCAACCAACATATCTGTGGTACAGGTTTCAGTCCTGTCAGTTGAATTTGGTTATAGATGCCTGTGTTTGCAGTAATTCCCATTCCTTCCTTTTGGCTGTGAGAAGATACTAAAATTGCAGGTGATAAAATGATCCTTCCTACATTTTTTAGAGGGATGATGAACCTTTTCTTACTGTGATTGAATTTTTCAGAAAGTATGCTGAGATTCTGACCTAGTAAAGCTCTTATGCCTGGAACTTCAACAGTTATTTTTGGAGGCTACAGAAATGGAGCATTGGTGAAGTGCACTACCTCTCAGCTTGGAGTAGGGCCTGCAGTGTTGAAAGGTAGAAATCTTCATGGTTAGTATTTGTTATTTTGTCAGTGGGACAAAATAAACATGCCTTCTGAATGCTTCCCACATGGATTCAGAGAGTAAGAAAATGAATAAAATCAGTTATATATTCTTTTAATCTCTAGCTGGGTTAGGATGGCTAAGGATCTTGGGTTTTGTTGGGGTTTTTTTGTTTGTTTGTTTTTATTTTCTTATATCCCTGTAAAATTACCAGGCAAGCTTTTTTTGCGTTGGTAAACATTTTATGTACAGTTTACTGTGCAGCTATCTTCACTTTTAGAATACTTTTTTTGTTATAGGAACATGGTGTATTCTTTTAATTGCCTTTCAATAGCATTTTTATGGTAGGATTTGTTACGTTTATTCCAACTTTCATGGCAGAATTTCTGAAGGTCTGGGCATGTGTGTTAATGCATAGCTTATTTAAGACAGTCAGAACACATTTCATTTGAAGGATCTCACCAAAGAAAAAAAAACTTGCCAGAATAAGCTTGGCACAAGGAAAGGTAAGTAAGTAATTTTAAACCTTAGAGAAATTCCTCTGTTCTACAGGAAGTGATTTCTTTATAAGCCTTTGAATTTTTCCTTTGATATCATACACACTTTTTCTTGGAGTTTTCACAACAATGCATTTGTCAGCTCCAAGAAATGCAAGAAGTTGTCTTCATGTCACTTTGGTTAAAGAAGGTCATTGCAGAAAATAAGTTCTGGTGAAGATCTGATCAGCAGCAGCTTTGGTGCACAGGTGCAATGCACTGCACAGATTTCAGACTGCAGTAGTGGTGGGTATACTGAATTCTTTGTTTATGGATTGGCATTTGTGTGTGCTACACATCTTACAACTAGTCATTGTACTGGAAATGGCAAATATGTATCCATAGCTTGAGGAAGCTTGCTGTACTAGGGAAGAAAATCATTTTGGATCAATTTCTTCCTTATTTTTAACCTTCTTTCTTTTTCTTTTTTTTAATTATTCCCTTGAAAATAAAATAATAGAATCATACAATGAATCATTTAGGTTGGAAAAGACTGTTAAGATCATCAAAGCCAACCATTAACCCAGCACTACCAAGTCAAATGGGGTGTTCTCATTTGAGATAAATTGTTGCAACTATATTAATAAAATGACAACACTTTTGGAATTCAGTGCTTTGAAGAGGAACCAAGGTTAGTAGATTTAGGTAGCTTTTAATGTTTCAGTTAGCTTTTATGTCTATGTAGCTCATTAAGTTATACCAGAAGCCAGATATTCAAAATTATCCTGAATTCCTGGCTATACAAATTCCTTGCTGTCCTATGTTTATTCCAGCTTGTGAAGGTGGTGATGTTTAATTCTCAAATCCAAAACGATTTCGTTCTGATAGAGCTCTGCTGTCTCTGCACACTACTGAGGTAGAGGTAACATAGACTTAACTTTGACATTGCTTTCTAGACACATGGCACGTAGGGTCTGATCCACAGTCTGTTGAGTGAGTGGAAGGATGATTTTCAGTTGAGGATCATGGTGGTAATACTTCTCTTTCAAAAAATTAAAAAGCATGAAATTTAATTGATACATTATCCTTGGGTGGAAGGCAATGCAAGGACCCTCAGGTCCTTGGTGGACTTGGCAGTGTTAGGTTAGTAAGTGGTGCAGTGGCTAGAATTCTAAAAGGGAGCTAAAATAGTTGATATTTGCACGAGTTGAAGTCCTGTCTGATTATTGTGATCAAAACTAAAGCTGAACAGCTGAAATGAAATTCAGAAATCCCAAATTATGAAGTAGTTGGAGAAGTACAAGGCTGAAATCAATAAAATAATGCATGTCACTCCTGAGCTGTGGCTCAGCAATTGGATTCTCCTTGACTTCAGGCTTTGGGAATTACTTCAGAGATACTCAAAACTGACTAATATTTGAAATTATCAGATGGCACATAAATGATGCTGGAAAAGAGTGCTTGTTTTTTAAACTTTCCATATAACTTCCAAAGCTGCAATCACAAGTTATGCTGTGAGTTTTTTTGTGAGTGAATTCCATTTGCTGTCAAGTCAGACAGCTGATAGGCTTCAAGACAGCTGCATGCAGCACATGTGCTTGTTTGCATAGAAAAACTCAGTTAAGGAAAAATTTGGCCTGATTTGGCTTCAGTGATTATTGCTGAAAGTCAAGGTTCTAATATTA